GTCCCAGTAAATATGGACGCCGAGGCAGTGCCATAGGGATAGGAACAATAGAAGAGGTTCAAGTTCATTCTCTCTTACTGTTTACCATTATCAATTGCTTTGCATTTGTATTTTCCTCACGTAAAAATGCAATTAATACTTTTTGTGTATTTAGATTCAAATTTTACCTGTGGGAAATTGTCTAAGTAGATGTAATTAGTTGTAAAGACACATGTTTAGTCTAAGTTTTATAGTGGTAATATTTGATTTATTAATAGAGCAAACACTGCTGCATTCTGTACTGCAGCTGGTAGGAATCAATCTATCATGCTCCAAAAAGCTTTATTCCTTTATTACCTTAGTATAAATGTGTTTTTTAATCCTTGTTTTCATGTTTTCCATTCCATAAAAGCAAATCCCAGGACTTCAAGCAATTTATTCACATTGCTTTGCTTGTAACTATATTTTTGAAATTGGCAAGAGAAAGGAAAATGTTTTGGAAATTAATATTATTGTATCGTGGACATTTTTTTTTATTTAATTTAACGTTTACCCCACAGTCTGACTTTAGTATATTAAATATGATTTTTTTCTCCTTTTTTATATAAGATATATTTTATAAATGTTCCTCTGCAGCACATTTCTTCATGCACTCATATTTCACTTCACTATTCTTAGATTTATTGCACTGCAGACAGTACTGTATATTTGCCCTGCTGTTATGGCCTCCCTCCCAAGACGCTTGTCTTACTTACCTTTCTCTATACCCACTCGTAGTCATTGATAATTCCTGGGAAAAGCCCAACAAGAAAAAAGTCTGGACCATTCAGCTCCCGTCGAAGCAGCGCCATCGGCATCGAGAACATCCAAGAGGTTCAAGAGAGGAGGTGAGAGGACAGCAGGGAGTGGGAGGTGAAGACAGAACGGTGTGGCAACAGATGGACTGAGGGACATTAAAATGAGAAAATCAGCCACTAGAAGATGCACTTGTCATATTCAAATTATTTGTGTGTCCAGAGGACCAGATTTAACTTTTTTAGATTTTCTACCTGGATTATTGAGCATGCATCAGGATATTTGTGTGTACTTTTTAATTTAAAATAGGCTTCATTTGTTGTTTTGAAGCTCAGTTTAATGTTAATTTAAAAAATTTCCAGGTCTGTATTTTATGTATCAACATTATTGTTGACCAGTAAGACTTGTGTTCAAAAGCAGCAGTAAGCTGCATGATGTTTGTGAAACTTGGTGGACTTGATGTCCTTACAATTTAAATGACCCTAATGCTCGTTTTCCACCATTTTTGTTATGACTCCTTGATCTTCACTTCTGCACTAAAGTCGAGAGGTGTCACCCAACGCCCAAAAAACACCGGACAGCAGCCACTTGTCACAAGAAAACAAGTCAGACAACTCCTCGAGCCACAGTTCACCCGAGTTCACTGCCACAAAGAACAGGTGAATATGACCTCACATTATGCTTTCATTTGTTTTAGATTATGTGAGTGGGTTGGATGATGTATTGGAACAGGTATGAACGACTATATGCCTGACCTGTGAGATTCAGATGATCATTTTCATAATTTGAAAAATGTTATAAGGGGGACTGGAGAGTGAGTTTACATGGCTCTTCGTCTCCAGGAAAGTTTACTCCTCTGTGTTGAAAGTATGGCTCAAACAGATGATTAAACCTCAGAACCAGTAGGAGCAGTGTGGCTTTCATACCAGGCCGTGGAACAGTGGACCAGATTTGTATTTTTGTAGAGTTAGAAAGGGAGTTATGAGAGTTTAGCTTTCCAGTCTACATGTGTTCTGTGAATTTGGAGAAGGCTCATGACCATGCTCCCTGAGGCATTTTGTGGGAGGTGTGGGAGCACAGGGTTTTGGGGTTGCTTGGTATTTTTGTCACTCTACAACCAAAACAAGTGCAGTGTCTGCATCCTCGTCATAAATTCAAGCTCATTCTCAGTGCAGCTTGGACCTCTTTAGGGCTGTCCCTTGCATCTAAAATTGTTTGTGGTGTTCACAGACAGGATTTTAAGGCCCAGTCGTAGAGAGGAAGTGTCAGGTTTGAGAACCTCAGGTTCTTATCTCTGCTTTTTGCAGATGTTGTGGTTCCATCAATGTCTTCAGGCCCTGACCCTCAGTGTGCACTGGCATGGTTTAAAAATGTAAAACAATTAGTTTTTGGTCTGAGGCAATGGTTCTCTACTGATAAAAAGATAGAATGCTCCTTTCCGGTTAAAGTTCAAGTATCTGAGAGTCTTGTTCATGAGTAATGGTTAGATGAAACAGGAAATGCCTCAATGTATTGAGACCTCGTCCACAGTAATGAGGCCACTGGTTTAAATTTTTGTGGTGAAGAAGGAGCTGAGCCAAAAGGCTACTTCTCCATCTACATTTCAACCTTTAACTATAGTCATAAAAAGTGGATAATGAACTTAAAAACAAGATCCCAAATACAAGAGGCTTAGTTGTAGAGATAAAGTGAGGAGCTCTGTCATCTGAGGAGAGATTGAAGTGAAGCCTCTGGTCCACTGCATTGAATGAAGTTATCTGAGGTGGTTCAAGCATATACAGTAATTAGGAAGCCTCCTGGGCACCTCCTTTTGGATGGGCAAGTGCTATTGGTAGGATATTGTGTGGTAGACCCAGAACTCACTGGAGGAATTACAAATGTATGTATCCCCTATAGTCTGGGAATCTTGGGATCACCAGGAAGGAGCTGGAGAGTGTTCTGGCAAAAGACATGTCTGGATTTCCCTCCTAAACATATTGTTTTGGCAACCTGGGGTGGCTGTGGCTGAGTGGGGCGGCTGTGGCTGAGTGGTTAGAGCAGTTGTCCTCCAATGCGAGAGTTGGGGGGTTCGAATCCACCAGCAGTCACATGCTGAAGTGTCCCTGGGAAAGACACTGAACCCCTCATAGCCTTTGATGTGTATCCCATCAGTGTATGAATGTGATCTAAAGCACTGATTAGTCTCTTTAGAATGATTTGTTCAATTAGCTTTGTTGAGATCTAGTAGAGTCCAAAAAAGTTCAATCTGGTCCTCTGGACATTCAAAAAAACAAAAAACAAAACAAAGCAAAAAAATATAGAAACGTTTCGTCTCTCATCCAAGAGACTTCCTCAGTCTGAGGTGCTGTTTTCAGCTCAGTCTCTTTAAGAGAGACTGAGCTGAA